CAAGACGAGATGGGTGATGGCAACAATCTTAACGAATAGAATTGGTATTACACATCTGCCTTATGAAGCGTTCTCTTCACAGATGCCTCATATCCAGAAGAAAGCAACCTCCAAGGCATCATGGAGTCAGGGCCAACTGAAAGTTGCCTTAGCCGCTGTTGAAAATGTGAGAAAAATACGAGAAATTGGCCTACAATTTTATATTTATGAAGCTACCTTAGGGCAACGGTTGAAACTTAATCTGCCGGTGATCCGAAAGCAAGGAGCCCTTTTACTGAAGAACATAAATGAAGTCTGTGCGACCACATATTGCATCTCTCAGATATGTTTTATGGGGACTTTTTGTTGAATTGCTTGTGAGTTCGCAGAGTGAAAAATGTAAATCATAATTTTAAACACGAAATCAAATTAGCAGAAAGAGACTGGGCTCAAGACTTCATGTGAAGAAATAGAGAACTGCGTGTTAGAAAGTCTGAACCTGTTACAGCTATCAGAATCCTGGCTTTTAGAGGTCACTTGGATTTATGACAACTTAGAGACTGGTTTTGAGATGTACAAGTTTGGGCTTAATCATATCTTCAGTGCAATTGAGAGTGGATTTTAATGTGTACAGAAACCTGTTGCGTTCATTCAGTTGTCAAAAAGAGGTCGAGATTTCCCCAAGTTTCGAACAAAGATGCATCACTCAGTCGTGGAGGCCCCGTTGGAAGTATCTACAGATGCTCAAAATCAGGGTGGATGAACGAAGATTTGTTCGTCATGTGGCTCAAGACTTTCGTCTGAGATGTTCAGTCTTCCATTCAGAACCCCACACTTAACCACTCAAGTCATGTGTCCATCAGAAGTTATAACTTCTAGCAGGATAATGGCATCATTGTGGTTTCTGTCTCACCTCATACACCAGACAGAATGCAACCATTAGCTGTCTCCTCCGCTGTACATCTTAATCATCCTAAAAGAGAGAATGCGAACTGTTCATGAGGAGTCATCTGCATGCAAGAGATTCCTTCTTTACTCAACAGAGCATGCAGACAAATTGCTGCCGTTACAGAAGCTGTGTCAGTATTTGCTAAATCGGGCATTTACCTTTTTAATCTAGATACGTTTAGCGAAGAGGGTTTCGTTTCTATAGCAGTTTACCAGTGCAGTTAGTGGATGGATCTGGTCCCAGCAGCGGAGGAAGCTTCCCGTCCGTTTCTGGCTGGCGGATTAAAAAATATCGTAGAGAAGGCGGAAGAAATAAAAAAGAATAAATGTGAAACGATTAGTAAAATGGGAGAAAGGAAAGGAGAGAGACCTCGATGAAACGCCTTTTTTTTTTCCTGGACGTCCCAGTTGTCCAAACGTAGAAATTATTGACGAATCTTGGCTGTGCTACGACAGAGTTCTGAAGATGTCAACACCTTGCTCCACAGAACAAATATAAATTATATTTGTCTCTGGGGTGGATAATTCGGCCACAACAGGGAGTTGGACATCGTTACGATGTCTGTTCTGGGTGGGCTCATGACGAATGTAGCAGGGCTGCAGATACTGCAGTATATTTCAGGTGCACCAATTTTTACGTGTGTGGTGAACATCTGTGCTATTAAATTAGAGGCAGTCCTAAACGACAGCACTATTCATTTATTGCATTATATATATTATATTGGCGTGCATCTGTGTTCTAGTGGTCAGAGTTCCTGGCTACTAGGTCCCGGGTTTGATTCCCGGCGCTACCAGATTTTCTGAGAAGTAGTTAGTCTGGAACGGGGTCCACTCAGCCTCGTGAGAATAATTGAGGAGCTATTTCAAGGAAATAGCGGCTCCGGTTTAGAAAACCGAGATTAACGGCCATGGAGATCCGTTGCGCTGACTACGCGACACCCTCTATCCGCTAAAGCTGGCACTAACTTCGCCGACAAGCGACGGTCACTCGGTCGGTATAGTTCGCTTGCGGACTCTTGGCTTTTTTAGTTTTGTGACATACGTTCTGTCCTACTTATTAGTAAATTTAAGCTGTTGCTACATGTATTGGTTTCATTTATTTCCAAGTGATTATTTTTGTGCTTTGTACTTCTGAAATCTGTAGTCTGTTTCAGCAAAGTATTTTTGCATTCCGTTCCCCCACATATGTGGATAATAGTACACTCTGTATGTTTCATGTTTTTAACTAATAACACTTTTACTCATAGAGATGTGGCTTTAATGCTTATACATGATAACATCAGATAAATTTCCTTCGTGAACAAATGTAAAATTGGAGAAACTCAATGAATAACATTCTATAACAATTCAAAGTTAGATACGTGCAGTTCCCCCCTCGCACCCCCTAATCCCTTATGTTACACAGCAATATAAATAAAACTTTTTTGAAAATTATGGCATTGACAACGCTTTTCTGAAAGTTCCGTGCCGTTAACTATAACGAAGTTTCGAGAAAGCTGATATGTGTTTTTAATTCCTGGAGGAGGGAGTATTTCTCACCGCCGGGTACGGCCTCCGGGTCTGTGTGTTAAACTTCTAAGCTCAGCTGTGTATAAGCAACAAATAAAACTTAGTTAACACTGTGCATGATTAATTAAGCGCAACGCCATGAAGACCTGTGCGTTAGCGGAGATTTAGATCCACAGATTCTTGAGAGTCTCACAAGATGGAGTTGAACAGTCACTTTGACTGCCCTGCAGTTTTGCCCTCGGGGAAAGAGCCCTTGGTATCCATTGAGTAGGAGAAGACTGAGGGCCCCGCAGCGCCAGTCTGGATGCTGCGGCGCCCTTCCCGGAGTCCAATCCTAAAACCTCGGCCGTCCAGCTCGTATATTTACTATACAAAGGAAAATAATAATTGAGGAATTAATTTAAACCTCCAGTTCTGTATATCTGACTGCGTATTTTTGGCTCATTCGCAACAAAGGTTGCAAAAATTGTCTTTCACGGTTTTAACAACCGTAAAACGCTGATTGAAATTGTATGAACCTTAATATTTGGCAATTATACTCAAATGTATTGGAATTATACAGTTTTGGCTAAGAGCGAGCAAGAGAAATGAACAAAAACCTTATATGCTTTTCTGTGTTCGTCTCGGACACAACTCGTTAAGTATTTATCAACACGAAAACGAAATACATATTTTATGTCTTGTGTAATTCTTCCCAAGGCTTTACTGCTTTCAAGATTATTAAACAAAAGTGGTTTTAATGCTTTTCCATGTCATAACTTTCAACATTTTGACTGATTTTGATCAAGTTTTGTATTGGGCGTCTTGCTCGTCCACATCGCTTCCTTTATGCTGCTTATAAGAGGTCATCGAAAGGTAGTGTATATTGTCACGTGTATGAGTGGCTGTAGACGGGGGTTGGATTGGTAATTGGATTTATTGAACTCTTACAGAATGACACCACAAGTAATTATAGTGCTATTGCTAATTCACACACTCTACAATTCACTGCAGCACTCACTAATTCTTTTCAGTTTTCTGTCTTCACCGGTCGTTGCCTGGTAACGGCTTCCAACGGCGGACGTTCCCCTTACTCTGCGTTTCTGAAGTATCCCCATGCCTCAGCTACCACCCTCTAATAGCAACAGCTCGCTACAACCGAACTGTAGCAGTCCTCTAACTGACTGGTTGTCATGAACCAACTCACTTCACCCCACTGTACTCAGCTGCACTAACGCGCAGGCTGGCGGCCATCTCACACCAACCTCCTACTCTTTTGATTGACTCCAACTCAACAGGCTAAACTGAGTCTGAGTCTGAGTTTAATGTTATGACCGACGGTTAGTCGGTCAGTCTGCCTTCGAATAAAGCACCCATCTGGGGCTTATGACCAGATTTTTATTACTGTCGGACAGTTGCTGGTTTGTTGCTGTTGGGCGCGCTCTCTGATGAGAGGACGGATCTGTCTTATACCGTTGCTGCTGACCCTCGCCATTGCAATTCTCGGGTCTGAGTCCCGTGGGACTCGCGACCATATCTTACTGTCTCAGATTCGAGACTTCCCTTTTCGTAGCCTCCTACTGCTCACAGGGTTATGGTGCCGAGCTATTAAGAATGGCTCTACGTGCTTCAGTATGAATTGAAAATATAAAGGCAAGAACAGAGGGAATGCACTAAGAATGTTACCTTATTTAAATGTGTCCTAATGTGTTATCTTCTGCTTGTCTAGTAATGTTAATTATATATGTGTAAATAGAATAGGTGTTTTTATGTTGTTTACAGTTGTTAACGTTTTGAGCCCAAATGAATCTTTGGAACAGTTTAAGTTAGTGATAACCAGCAAAGCCCCTGTTCATCGCTTAGAATGAACCACACTTAAATAATGAAATTGCTTATTTATTATGACATTGTGTGTTTGTGGTGATCAATGTCACACCAGTAGTAATTACATGAGTCATTAAATAATTGCTTAGCAGCAAAACAGTTGTGGACATAGATCACTTTTGAAGGCATGTAAGAGACATGAAAGGAAAGTGGTCACATTCACTCCTCGACAGATATTTGAGTTCACTGTACTCTCTGTAAGGAAAGCTGGGTGTGTGCCAGAATTGTTCTGGATACAGCTGGGAAGTGAACAGTCCTTGTAGGCCTCTGGTCAGTCAGACTAGAAAGGCCCATATACGTAAAATGGAAGTGTTGAAAATAATATCTGTTGTAAGAAGACTTTCTGAAATTGCTTCTCAAACGGACAGTAGATTTATGTGTTATTTTTCTTTTCTGCTTGGGTTGAGTATTGTGCTTCCCCCATTTCCCCTGGCATTCATTCTATAGACTGACTGATTGTAACAGAACATCCCCAGCAAGGAAATGTTGCATTGAAACTTTGCACTTGTGATGAGAATGTCAGCTATTCCCTTATATCTGTGCCATTGTTCTTTTCCCTGTCACACCTTATCTGATTTAAGTTTATTTCTTTCATTTCAAATAAAACACTTGCTATCAACAGTTCGGAATATTCTGTCTTTCAAACCTGTCTATTCAAACTTAAAGGCTATAGAATTATAATTTCCTGTTATTTCATATAGGTGTGAAACCTGGTCTTTCACAATAAAGGAAGATCATAAATTGAGGATGTCTGACAGCAGGGTGATGAGGAAAATATTTGGGCATAAGAAGGAAGAAATAAACAGGAGCATGGAGAGAATTTTGTAATGAGGAGTTTCGTGGTTTAGTATGTTCACCATGCCATTATCAGGGTTGTCAAATCAAGGCGAATGACATGGGTGTGGCATGTAGGACACATGGGAAAGATGAAAATTGTTTACACCTTTTTTTGCTGGATAACATGAAGGAGAGAAACCACTTGGAAGAGCCAGGTATAGATGGAAGAATAATATTAAAATTAATTATAAGGAAATAAGGTGGCAGGTTTTGTACTGGATTCATGTGGCTCAGGATAGAGACTAGTACTAGGCTCTTGTGAACACTTTAATGAACATTCAGGTTCCATAAAGGGTTGGAATATTGTGAGTAGATTAGACACAATTAATTTAACAAAAGGGACTCGGCTTCATGGAGTGAGTTAGTTGCCTTTACTCTGACTTTCTGTTACAGAGATGCCGTGGTGGCCACGTCTGAGCTGAGGTAGCCTGATTTTCGTGGCTTGCTGGCCTACAGCAGCAGCCATGCTGATTAAGGAGTACCGTATTCCACTTCCCCTCACTGTAGAGGAATATCGGATTGCACAACTATATATGATCGCTGTGAGTTGTTCTTACAGAGCTCGTACAGTGGACCCTTGATGTGAAGTTGGTGTCAGGTTACAGTTTTAGTTCTTTGGAACGCAGATGGTGTCTTGGTGATGGCACAGATTCACTTTCAAACCAGGAGACATAAGTATCACATGCCATCCAAGCACTGGTACTGTTTCTTATAGATCACAGGTAGATATTTCATATTTATGTGCATGAAACACTGAAGACTTCAACTCTGACTCATGCAGGCTGGTTTCAGCTTGTGGTTGCCAGTCTTATTGGAACACAACAACAAGGTCATTCTTTCTTTGTTAATTGTCATCATACGTACCTGGCTGGTTGCTGTTTTTAGATCTAATGATTACTTTACTTTACTTTACTTTACTTTATTTATTGCATTCTGTCAATCCGTGTAAGGTCAAACCAACCTATTGGATATAGAATCTGTCATGTTTAAGCATAAAATAATAAAATATACATACATAACCATGTTTGAACATAAGATAATAAAATATACATTCCTAACCCATACAAGGACAAATGAAAGCACTAAGAACCACTATAAATTAGTGCAGTCCTATACAATAATACAAACACTGATACAGTTGTAGTAGATACATAAACTGTGTAATTATATATATATATTCAGTATGGTGTTGCTTCATCTCATTTGTACAACTGTTCATCAGTGTACTTTCCATCTTCAGTCACTTTACATAGAGTTTTAGGAAAATGTTCGGTTGCTTTACTGTCACCGGATGCAGATTCAGCTCAGTGTTAATTTTGCATATTGCATTTGGAACCTTCCACATTCAAAGCTATCCTTCAGAAGTTTTAAATGTCTTATCCCAACAAGTAGTTTGTTAATGTGAACTGCTTCAACTCTAAAAATTATCCCATTTATGGTCGCTCTTTCACTACTTTCTTGTAGAAACCTCTTGTACAAACACACATCTATGTAACTGTTTTCGCAAAATATAGTCGTCTTCCTTTGTAGCCCTGTATCATGTGTTGTGGAATCTACATATGAATGTAATTAGTTTTCTTTTATTTCATCCAATTGCATATTATTCTTTTCAGAATTTTCCACGCATGGAATAAACTGCCTTTTGATTCATGATTCCCAACTCTTTTGATAATTTTTAATATTTCTATGATTGTTTAATTTCTACTTCTGCCCATTATTCCTGTAGCATTACTCACTTCTATATAAATGGTTAGTACAGTGTTGTACCTTTTGGGACTTATTCTATCTAGAAGTTAAGTAGGATTTCCAGCTGTCTGTGGTGGAGCAGCTGAAAGGAGTGCTCATAAAATTTTGATGTTTTGAACAAAATCATTTCAAGGTTAAAGAAATCAGTAACATACAGCCTATTTTTAGTGGACATTATTACCCTCTGTACCTGTAAATTACAGCAAGAAATGTTGCAACACAGAAGTAGAACATTTCATATAAATTTGTGGTTATAATATTGGGGACATGATCAAAGCTGCAGTACATCTGAATCCACAGTATAATAAGTGTATACTGTGTTTGCTGTTAAGTATAATATATCTTTGAAAATTAAGTAAATACTAGAATCTGAACTTCAAAGGCTCCATGTTGTAGTGAGGGGACTCTAATTTGACTGCACTGCACGATATTCTTTGAATGATAAAAGTTATGCGTTGCTGATTTTCCATCACAAACTGTATATTTAAATGACTGAAGTTTCATGCAGGTGCATAGCTTACATGGTTCAAGGAGATATTTCAACTATTATTTTGGAATATATGCAAATAAATGGAAAATTTTGTCTTGTCATTTGTATATTCTGAGCTCAGGGCAAACACTTAATAGAATGAGAGTAATGGAGAATGGTTTGAACATGTTACAATGATATGTTAAATTGACCACTTCTGTGGTCTAGTGGTCAGAGTTCCTGGTTACAGATCCAGAGGTCCCGGGTTCGATTCCCGGCGCTACCAGATGTTCTGAGAATTAGTGGGTCTGGAATGGGGTCCACTCAGCCTCATGAGGATAATTGAGGAGCTATTTCTAAGAAATAGTGGCTCCGGTCTGAAAAACCAAAATTGATGGCTGTGGGGAACCATTGCACTGACCACATGATGCCCTCTATCCGCTGAGGTTGGCACTAACTTCTCCGACAAGCGGCAGTCTCTTGGTCAATATAGTTCGCTTGCGGACTAAAGCCACGGACATTTTGTTTTTTGATATGTTAAATTAACTGAGTGAGAATGGGTACAAATAAGAATTGTGCATTAATTATATTATATGTATTTTACAGAAAAAGAGCCGAGAAGAAAGCAAAGGAGCAGGTAGTGGTGTGGAAATTCTGGTAAATGAGCCATATAATGATGGGCCTGGTGGTCAAGGACAGTACACACACAAAATTTATCATGTTGGCAGTCATTTACCAGGTAATTCTGTAATTATGAATGATTGTACAAATTTTTTTTTCTGTGTAGAACTGTAAAATCCCGAAATTTACGCAGGAATTTTCTCCTTACATTTGTTACACAACCACTTTCATTGTAAGTATCATATAAGAAGGCTCATTGTTTTAATTTGTAACTCACATGTGGCGTTTGGATGTAGGAGATAGCACAACTCAGTGAATATCACACATCTTAGATACATTAGCAGTAGCAACTTGGAGCTTATTATTTTTGAGTGGGCCAGTGCATGATGTGTAAGCTTTCTTCATAGTAGCTGCCAGTGATTTAGTGGGACAGAACCGAAGAGAAAATGTAATGTGTATACATTTTTGGGTCAAGCGTTCTGCTAGAAATTATAATCTCTGTGCGCTGAATTGACATGAAAAGCGTTTATCTCTTCATTTGAGCATATCAAAAATTCACAGGAAGCACTCAGATGTTCCAGATGTATTTCTGTAATTCTGTTTAAGCATCTAGTTATCATAGTTTCACGAATTTGTAAACCAAATTCAGCACAGTCATTCCTATTATCTTTTTTAAAAACTGGAATGGTAATGGCTATTTTCAGAGCATCTAATATTTTGTATATAGCTCAACCAACACACATTTTAAATATATAAGAATCTTAGCTTTGCAGTCTTTGAAAAATATTTAACTTTGATAACCGATCAAAATTTGGAAAAGTGGCTGAAATTCTGAGGAATGATTGTCATTTTATTGTGTACAAGATACTGTTACAATTGAACTTGAACAAATAAGCTGTAAGATTAATTTTGATCAAAAATCTGACATGCAAAAGGGAAAGTATGTTCCAAAATGGTGCAGAGAATCTTAGCCATAACCAAGAAGCTGTTTCAGATCTTTTATCAAGATTCTTGTAAAACCTGATCTCTTAGAGAAAATAATGATGCTTATCTGATCTGGGTTTTCCAGCGTAACCTAGAAACAAAGTGCAGAAGTTTCTGAAGATGAAGCACAGAGTGTCCAACACCAAAGAATGTGTCTGGTTTCTTTAAAAATTAATCTTAATATTAGTATTTGATCTGTACCTTGATCTCCAAAGCAGTCTTTTCTCCTGAGACTTTCATACCGAAACTTTGTGTGTATTTCTGATTCTTTCCATGCATGCTACTTGTCTGCCTCATTTAATCCTTTTTGATGTTATCACCACAATAATTGATGAGGCCTGTAATGGTCATCTGTGTTTAATAATGTTTTGTGGAAACAGGACATCTTTACAAAATGTTTTGTTTTGAAGATCCAAAGTCTCTTCCAACTTTCCATAACCCAGAGCAACAATACAGATCTTCATATTGTGTAACTGTTTATTTGAGGAAATAGTTTGGGAGGCATCTGAAGTACTGTGTAGTATTTCTTTACTTCGTGGCTTGCTTGCAGGTTGGTTTAAGAGCCTTCTTCCCAAGTCAGCCCTCACTGTTGAAGAGGAAGCATGGAATGCTTATCCATATACAAAAACACGCTACACATGCCCTTTTGTGGAAAAGTTCTCCCTTGAGATAGAAACATATTACTATGCTGATAATGGGCACCAGGAGAATGTCTTTGGCCTTTCTGGAAGTGATCTCAGGAACAGAGTGATCGGTATGTAAATATTTGTAAATGCATGTATGTAGTAAGTAAAGAGTTGTTGTGAATCTGATCGTTGGTCTATCTAGTTACAGGAAAGTTTCAGTCTCTGTAATTTGTTTTACATACTTGTACAGCATATATTGAACCTGTATATTTGAAGACTCTGCATATTTAAATGGCTGAACCTTCCTTGCAGTGGACTTGAGACTGAACAAAACTAATCAGTTAATATTGTTTTATTTTTGTATATACCAATAGGTTTTGAAAATACAAGTAGATTAGTTAAAACCTATACTTCTATGTGATTCTTTGTGGTATAAGTATGTTGTTCTAGTTCTCTGTCTGTAGCATAATTTTAATTTCATTTTAACCTGTGTTATGTGAATGAGAGGACAAGAAACAACATGTGGAGGTCTTGTGTAGAAAATCTGTATAAATGAAGAGACAGTTAAAATACAGTGATGGAATAAATTATAAAAGAATGACCTACATTACATTTTAGCATATGTACAGTACACAGGATAGAGGAACAATAATATATGGTCCTGAAAATTTGTCAACTCATGTTCTGTGATGGGGGCACGCAGTAGCATAGTTGATTGAGGCACTATGCTAGAAGCCGGAAGGTCGCGGGTTCAAGTCCCAATGAGGTCATTGGGTTTTTCAATTGACCTAATCCTTCCAGCCACACTATAGCCCTTAGGTCGACTCAGCCTCTAACAGAAATGAATACCAGGAATATTCTTGGAATATTCTTGGGCGTAAAGGGCGGCTGCTGCGTAACGCTTGCCGCTATGTGTAAGCTGATTGTCTAAAAAATGTGGGAACCTCAACACCCCACAACCCTATGGGCCTCCACGGCCTGTTACAGGGATACCTTTACTTTTACTTACTTATTCTGTGATGAGGAGGTGAGGAGGAACAAGTTCTTCAGTTGCGTTGTTTAGCATAATAGTGTTCTCACTTAAATATTATTTCAGTTTATCTTTCTTTAATCAACATGTCAGACATTGTATTCACATTTAAGACATAGACTCTCAGCTATCTGCAGTAATGGAAGAGAGAACCACCATGGATTATTTAGAAGACCAGATAGGATGTTGCTCCATTCACATCTAGTCTTATGAAACAGTTCTCTATGCAAAAATACCATACAATACACTTTTTTAACTAATTTCATGTTCTTACTTTATTAAGAATGTGTCTGTGATCTTCTACATCTCTTGTGAACACCTCACAACAACATTATGGCCTCACTCAATACAGACCATTCTGAAATATTATCACTTTCAAAATTCTCACAGTCTGACATGCCTTACAAAATTGTGGCTAACATGACCTCTGAAGTTTCATTTTCTTCAAAACAGTCTTCTTCCTCAGTGTTAGAATAAAACTGTTTTTCATGATTTTCCTGATGTCATAGGTTATACTGTATGACAAGGTTTTTGCTCTTCAACATGGTGACCTTCTTCAAAAATATTGTGAAATCATTAACCATGCCCTTTTGGGGAAGAGTTCTTCTACACAGCTCTTTTGCTGTTTCAAGCACTCCTCTGTCCACAGGACGAATTAATGCAGCCATATTAATTGCAGACATTTCACACAAGTTTGACACTGTCTGATTTTAAAACATTTCCATTCAGATTTGATGGGACATTGTGCAGCAATAGTACAGCCTATTGCAGCACACATTTTCATTTTAAGTGCCACCACACCTGCAGCATGAAGTTGCACTCAGACCTGATCTTACAAAGGGAACAGTCTCTCCAGGCTCCTTTTGATTGAAGTAAACAACTGGTAAGTTTGTTTGTTCTCAGCCTTTGAAAAATTGGTTTCTTAGCTTTACCCATCACACAGAGCTGAACTTGAGACAGTAGCATTGGCACAGCATAGAATAGTTTTTCTTTCATTAGATGATTAATGGTCAGGTGCACTCTGTTCTGTTTCAAAACTAAGTGCCTGCTGGAAGGCACTTTAAAATATTCCAGTTCCATCAGCATTATAAATTTTCTCCAACTGCAGATTTTCATTTGCAGTGGACTCCTGAAAATCATGAAGCAATCATTGACAGCCCCTTGAATGGTAATCTTCCAAATACCATTCCTCTCTTTGAATCTTATTAACAATCCTGAGGATGCAGTGAAATCACCTTCCAGTCCCAACACCTGAATATAGATTCTGTTTCTTTGGCACACATTATGCTAGACACTTGAGTCCTTTCTGCTCATTTTATGGTCGAACCAATCAAGTAGAACTCTACCAAGTTTTTTGTTTGTGTGTGCAGAATGTTTCATGGTTTTTTGCTTCAGTAACAACTTGTTGAATTTGAACTACTTTCATAATTAAACATTTTCTTATTGTTTCTAATGTCATGGACAGTTGTTTCATATACGTACTTCATAATTGAGACAAGTTTATTAAATTCAAGTTTACTAAGTAGATCCAATTTCTGTTTTATTGTTACCACTACACACATGCATTTTGTAGGAATCCTTCAGCACTGCATACTTATAGCAGTTGTATATGTGAGTTGCTTGCTGTATGAGCTGAATGATATTGAAATGTGTTTGGGAATGGACAGAATGGCTGAACTGTGTGGTTGTGATAAAAGAGATAGCTTAAGTGGTGTATAAATATACAGTAAATTACAAAATGCTAAAAAAGAAGTAATTCTGACTACAGGTATGAATGAAGCACAGTTGAGTCCAATACAGGGACATAAGAAAGTTAAACAAGCCAGAGACTCTGTGATTGATCAACAGAGCAGATAATCCATCCTCAGATAATTGAGAGTCTCCTTTGTGGCATTTCTATGCTCTGCACTGTAAAAGACATGGCTGCATTAATAGCCCAGTCTTGTTTACAATACATGGATGTTAGAATTATCTGTATTTGTATCTGTGAGCTTCTGTCATGACTCCTTTCTCACTAGGTGCAATTTTGTTGAACACAAAACAAAAAAATAAGACATATCATGAAACAGTTTAATGTGTTTTTTGTGTTGATTGTTGTTGTTCTTCCTGAGAAGAGAATTTTTTATATACTACTCTGTCCAAAAAGTATCCAATCTTGGGCCGGGAAAGCAAAGTTCTGTATCTGGATGGTTACAATACCTAATCCCCTTCAAAGTAGGCCCCTTGTGACTCCACACACTTAGCCCAGCGGTCCTTCCATCGCTGGAAGCAATTCTGGAAGGCTTCTTTTGGAATGGTGTGCAGCTGCGCTGTCGCGTTCTGTATGATGTCCTCATGGCTGTCAAAATGGCAGCCTTTTAGCAGTGTCTTCAATCTCGGCAACAGCCAGAAATCATAAGGAGCCATGTTAGGAGAGTAGGGAGCCTGGCGAGCCTGCGGAATGCCGTGCTTGGCCAGGAAACCCTGGATCAGGTGCGATGAATGAGCTGGGGCATTGTCATGATGCAGCTGCCAGTTGCGTGCATCCCACAGCTCAGGTATCTTGCGCCGAACTGCATCACGAAGATGACAGAGGACGTCTTGGTAGTATTCCTTACTGACAGTCTGGCCTAGTGGTGCGTACTCATGATGACAACACCCTGGTAATTGAAAAAAACAGTCAGTATCACCTTCACATTGCTCTGAACCTGTCGTGCTCTTTTGGGCCTTGGGGATGTTGGATGCTTCCATTGTGATGCCTGGACCTTGGTTTCTGGGTCATATCCATACACCCATGACTCATCACCAGTGATCACAGTCTTCAGGAACTCAGGATCCCTGTTGGCGCAATCCAGCATGTCCTGCGCAGCCTCAAGGTGAAGTTGTTGCTGCTCCGGCGAAAGCAGCTTTGGCACAAATTTTGCTGCCACTCTTTGCATGCCCAAATCCTCCGTTAATGACCAAACGACAGTCCTCCATGATTAATGTCTGCACTTTTTCAATGACATCAGCATTTCGGCTCATTGATGGTCTCCCGGAATGCTGTTCACTGTCCGCCGACATATGGCCATGTTTAAAGCAGTTGAACCACTCTTTTAATTTGAGTGACCCCCATTGCATCATCACTGAAAGCTTGCTGAATTTTGCAAATTATTTCCGCTTGGGTATCCCCAAGTTTATGACAAAACTTAATGCAGTATTGGTGCTCCAAGCTTTCTGTCCTCTTGAGCAAAACGAGAATGCGACAAACACATGTTACACCACTTCACTATCTGGCAGCTACAGATGCATCCAGCAGTGTTGCGAGTCAGCAAAAAATCACGCATGCGCATGAAGTCCCTTCTACCACTACGCTCGGTTTCCCCACCCCTTTGGCCATTACTTACAGCAGGAAAAAATAAAGTTTGATACTTTTTGGACATACAGTATATGAAATGTCAAATTATTATTTGCCATATTTTACAGGATGGTTTCTGGACATGAAAATACGAAGAAAGAAATCATATGAATATGTTACCCAAGGGCCTTTCTTAAAAATCTACAGCTAATTTTGTTCTAATTTAAATTTCCATGGCATCACAGCTTATATACTTCCTGAGTTTAAAAGGTTGCATATAAAAAGAAAGCAAAAGTCCTATTAATAACCTTGTTATTATAATTCTTACAAGAGGTGCTTAGAAATGGCATCTATATTCACAGATAGAACTCAGCTCTGTATGAGACTAAAACCCACAAATATGCAAGAATTCAAGGTGTGCTTTTTATTTTACTTACAAATTGTTGAATTTGATGCCATAGTTCCTCTGTAGTATCAGTTCTAGTGGCACAGAGCTTGGTCTTCAGTATCCCCTCCCAATCTAATAACCTCTGATTAATTGAAAAAAAAAATCCTTTGTGTCAGTATTGAAAGATTATTTGAAAGTAGATGGAAGACTGATACAAAATTTTTGTAGTCCAATGTTTTAGTTTTACTTCATCAAATATAATCTTGAAAACACATCCATTGTATGTTAATTTGAATCCTCAGTCATGGGGAGTACATAATTTCTAAATATCCTCGTAGATATATAACTTCTTTATTAAAACCGTCACAACACAACTATATCAATGTCAGTGCCTAATTTTGGCTCTGCTACATATTTCGGCTGTTAATAGCCATCATCAGGCAAATTCATGGCTAACATATACAGGGTGTCCCAGGAGGAATGGACCAAACTTCGGGAGGGTGTTCCTTATGTTAAAGTATGCCAATATAACCCAAACACATATGTCCAAAGTCGAACGGTTACGGAGATAATGGCCAGAGAAGTGTGAAACTTTGACCGGTGTTACACACTTGTTGATTACAAAATACATATTAAAACTGGCAGGAATATGTGGATTCTGTAAAGTTAATAATGTACGTAACATCAAACTAACTTGTGAGTGATGTGGAGCCATAAAATTGAAGTACAAAATACTCGCTCGCCATGCCATAATTGTCCTTAGGGTTTCCAAGCACTATACATGACACA